TTTGTACATGTGGGCGTCATTGTTTGCTTGTCAGTTCCCTCCTTGTTTACATGAAAACCATGGGAACACAACAGTTGCACAAGCAACCACCATGGAAAAAATAAAACCTGCGAGTTTCAACACTTGCACATAAGCCTTGTATGCAGAGTCCTGCCCACCCACGTGATAATATATTGAGTTAAGCAGATCAGAGATTACAAAATGACCCCTGATTATTTCTACACATTAGTGGTTCTTAATCTGTTATCGGTCATAGACCCCTTTGAGAATCTAATGAAAGGTAGAAGCAGTTTCCCTAGAAAAATGCAAATACTTACATGTACACAAAATATGAATAAACACATAAAGGCTATGTGGACCTTTAAGGCCCAGCCAGGTAGCCCACAGCATTTAATCAAGGGCTTTCAAAATGGATTGTATGTCAGAATCGCCCGAGAGCTTGTTAAAAAGCATAGTGGTAGCCTTGTCCCAGGAAGATGTAAGATGGAATGGAGGAACCTGCCTTTTGTGTTCTCCAGGGAATTCTGAAGCAGGTGGGGAACAGACCACGCTTTGGCAGACTCTGCTTCGAGGCCAAGGAAGGAGAGAGTCAGAGACGTGGAGATGAAAAGTTCCTGGAAATTTAGAACAAATTGCACTCTGGAGAGCTGAAATTGGGGAGATGAATGTAGGGAGAAGGAAGAATAGGATGAAGTAGAAGTAAAAGTCAGAGCTTTGTAGACTGGAGTAAAATGCTTGAGGGGCTTGGCAGCAGATTGAGAACATTGGAAGATTCTGGGCTGTGTAATCTGCCACCAAGGCAGCCTCTCATGATTCATACACTCATATGAGAGTGTCTCTAGAATGCCCCTGAGGGGAGATTCGCTGCTGTCTCTACTAACCCTCTTGAGTTACTCAAACTAGAAAATAGGGCAGGACTCATCACAACTACAGCTAATGAACACACCATTACCCACCACCTTCACCAAAGAATTACGGTGCCTGTAATAAAGCGGGGGTGGGGTGGGGGGTGTCTTTTAGTCCGTTAACTTTACAGATGAGCAAACTGAGGCACACAAAGCGCCTTGCCCAAGATCACTCAGTAAAGTTGCACCTGTATCAGGACCAAACCCTCGCTTTCTATCCCCTGGTCTGCTGCCCTTCCTCCTCCTTACTTGGTCCTGAGCTAAAATACATTTTATGGAACCACCCATGGGAATGTGCTCACCCCAAAAGAGTTCAGGGAAAATTCATTCGAGTGCAAACAGAGCTTCAGGTAGGGTGACACTGTTCAATTAAAATAATACATAGGCATGCGCCACACTTTGGTCTCTCATTCCTTTTAATGCATGGCGGTCATTACCAGCAGCAAAGTGGGCCAAAGCAAGGCCTGCCTCGGTGCTTACATGCTGTTCCTCGACACGGTGCGGAGGACGAACTCCACTGCGTTCTCAATGATCTCTGTGCCCAAGAGGTTTAGAAAATGGGGGAAGTCTGGTTTTTTGCCTGAGTCATCGGGCTTGTCCTCTGGTTTGCCATCTGGTTTGCCATCTGGTTTGCCATCTGGTTTGTTATCTGGTTTGCCATCTGGTTTGTTATCTGGTTGGCCATCTGAAAAACACACAGGATCTCAGAGGTGACTCTCAGCAACAAGAAAGGGAAGTCTTTTCTGTAACTACGGAGCCTCACAGAGTTGCGTTCATTAAATACTGAATGTCTGCCCAGTGAAAGTCTTTGCATGCATCATTTCATTTATTCCTAAAAGCAATCAAACGGACCAATAGACACTGACCATTGGTAGATGTTTCTCCTCGCGGATGAGAAGATGGAATCTCATGGAGGTTCAGGAAGTTGCCCAGTTAAGCAGCTAAGACCGGGGATGCCAAAAACATGCATACACATGGTTTGTATTCGTCTGTTGTTATCGGTATATATTGAGTATTACAATTTTAATAGTTTTTTTTTTCCTTTCTTAAAATGTGTATACATTTTTTGGGCACCCTCTGTATATGCCAGCGCCAGGATTGAAATACAGAATGCCTGGTTTCGTGTCACTTTATCCACGTCATCCCGGGGCCCATTGTCATGATAATAATGAGGATGGAATGACAATGGGTAGGACTTGTTGAGTACATACCTATGACAGGAAATCAACATGCGTTGTCTCATTTTAGTCTCACAACAGCTCTATGAGGTAGGAAAAATTATTTTTCCAAGTTCAAGGTCAAGAAGCAGAATTTGAGAGACGTTTAGGAACTGGCTCAAAGTCACAGAGGTAGGAAGTGGCAGAAACAGAATTCAATTCCGTGTCTATCTGGCATTAAATTCTGGATTTTCCAGAACACAGTGATGGACTGCACAGCCTTTGACAGAAAACTTGAGATCTAACTGCAGATGTTATAAGCTTGACAGTAGTAAAATAATAATGAGGAGGAAAACTTATATCACTTGTACATCAGCTGGTAGTTCTGAAAAGAATGATTTTTAAAAATTTTTTCAAGCTGAGCCATCCTGCCACCTGTTGGCAGCTCAGCGGCTGCTCAGCTTGGGCCAGGAATCGAACTACTGTTGCTCAGAGCTCGCCCTCTTGAGCGAGCTCTTAACCAACTGAGCCACTTGGCCGGCCCCTGAAAAGAATGATTTTTTAAAAAGCTATGTAATTTTACTCTTGACCAAATCTCATGGGACATGTAGACTTTAGCTCACTGGACTAAGAAACTGAAAAGATAAAGGGACTTGCAGAAGACTCACAAATAGCAAGAGAAGCAGATGCAACTCTAACTGCAGGCTTCTTTCTTTCTTT